GCAACATAACAGAACTGAAAATTGTCCAAATTAGGTAATCTTTGTGGCATCTTAAAGGGCGAATGTTCCCCTATTCATTTATGTAAGTTTCATATCCATAGTTGGTTCAGTCGGAAATTATCGTTAGAAGAAGGCATTGGTTGTTGTCCTCCTGCTTGCTAATATTGTGCAATTCCTTTGTCGCTTCCCGCGCAATGATGGCTCCCTATGTTGAAGCATAAAAGAACTGAAAATTGTCCAAATCAGGCAATCTTGTTGGCATCTGAAAGGTAGATTGTTTTCTTTATATTGATATAAGTTTCATATCCATATTTTTTTTACTTAGGAATTTATATGCAGAAGAAGACTTACGTTCTTGTTGAAATACTTGCTATTTTTGTGCTATTCAATTGCCTCTTTCCATTACAGGTTCCTTCCTGTGCAATGATGGCTCTCTATGTTGAGCATAACGACCTGAAAATTGTCAAAATCTTGCTGTCCTTGTGGCTACTGAAAGGGCGAATGTTCCCCGATTCATTTATGTAAGTTTAATATAAATACTTCTTTTAGTTGGGAAATTATCGTAAGAAGAAGGCTTTGGTTGTTGTCCTGCTGCTTGCTAAGTTTGTGCAATTCCCGTGTCCTTTTCCGTGCAATGATGGCTCTCTATGTTGAAGCTTAAAAGACCTTAAAATTGTCCAAATCAGGCCCTCTTGGTGGCATCTGAAAAGGCGAGTGTTCCTCTATATATTGATGNGCAACATAACAGACCTAAGACTTATCCAAATCTGGCAGTCTTTGTGGCTACTGAAAGGGCGAATGTTCCCCTATTTATTGATGGAAGTTTCATATCCATATTTGTTTTACTTAGGAAATTATATGCATAAAAAGGCATACGTTCTTGTCGAACTACTTGCTAATTTTGTGTTATTCCATTGCATCTTTCCATTACAGGTTCCTTCCTGCGAAATAATGGCTCGCTCTGTTGCAGCACAAAGGACCTGAAAATTGTTCAAATCTGGCAGTTTTTGTGGCTACTTAAAGGGCGAATGTTCCCCTATTCATTGATGTAAGTTTCATATCCATATTTCCTTTAGTTGGGAAATTATCTTAAGAAGAAGGCATTGGTTGTTGTCCTCCTGCTTGCTAATATTGTGCAATTCCTTTGTCCCTTCCGGCACAATGATGGCTCTCTATGTTGAAGCATAAAAGAACTGAAAATTGTCCAAATCAGGCAATCTTGGTGGCATCTGAAAGGGTGATTGGTCCTCTATATATTGATGTGAGTTTCATATCCATATTTTTTTACTTAGGAAATTATACGCAGAAGTAGGCATACGTTCTTGTCAAACTACTTGCTAATTTTGTGCTTTTCCCTTGCCTCTTTCATTACAGATTCCTTCCTGCACAATGATGGCTCTCTCTGTTGCAACATAAAAGACCTAAGAATTGTCCAAATCTGGCAGTCGTTGTGGCTTCTGAAAGGGCAACTGTTCCCCTATTCATTGATGTATGTTTCATATCCATACTTTCTTCAATTGGGAAGTTATATATCGTAAGAAGAAGGCTTTGGTTGTTGTCCTGCTGCTTGCTAATTTTGTGCAATTCCCGTGTCCATTCCCGCGCAATGACGGCTCTCTATGTTGAAGCATAAAAGACCTGAAAATTGTCCAAATCAGGCAATCTTTATGGCATCTGAAGAAGTGATTGGTCCTCTGTATATTTTGATCAAGTTTCATATCTATATTTTGTTTACTTAGGAAATTATATGCCAAAGAAGGCATAAGTACTTGTTGAACTAGTTGCTAATTTTGTGTTATTCCATTGCATCTTTCCATTACAGGTTACTTCCTGCGAAATGATTGCTCGCTCTGTTGCAGCACAAAGGACCTGAAAATTGGTCAAATCTGGCAGTTTTTGTGGCTACTTAAAGGGCAAATGTTCCCCTATTCATTGATGTAAGTTTCATATCCATATTTCCTTTAGTTTGGAAATTATCGTAAGAAGAAGGCTTTGGTTGTTGTCCTGCTGCTTGCTGATTTTGTGCAATTCCCTTGTCCTTTCCCGCGCAATGATGGCTCTATGTTGAAGCATACAAGACCTGAAAATTGTCCAAATCAGGCAATCTTGGTGGCATCTGAAGGGTAGATTGGTCCTCTTTATTTTGATGTTAGTTTCATATCCATAGATGCTTTAGTTAGGAAATTATCGTAAGAAGAAGGCTTTGGTTGTTGTCCTCCTGCTTGCTAATTTTGTGCGTTTCCCGTGTCCCTTCCCGCGCAATGATGGCTCTCTCTGTTGCAGCATAAAAGAACTGAAAATTGTCCAAATCAGGCAATCTTTGTGGCATCTGAAAGGGCGAGTGTTCCTCTACATATTGATGTAAGTTTCATATGCATATTTCTTTTACTGAGGAAATTATATGCAGAAGAAGACTTACGTTCTTGTTGAAATACTTGCTATTTTTGTGCTATTCAATTGCCTCTTTCCACTATAGATTCCTTCCTGAGCGATGATGGCTCTCTCTGTTGCAATATAAAAGGCCTAAAAATTGTCCAAATTAGACAATCTTTGTGGCATCTGAAAGGGTGATTGGGCCTCTATATATTGATGCTAGTTTCATATCCATATATGCTTTAGTTGGGATATCATCGCAAGAAGAAGGCATTGGTTGTTGTCCTGCTGCTTGCTACTTTTGTGCGTTTCCCGTGTCCCTTCCCGCGCAATGATGGCTCTCTATGTTGAAGCATAAAAGACCTGAAAATTGTCCATATCAGGCAATCTTGGTGGCATCTGAAAGGGCAAGTGTTCCTCTGTATATTGATGTAAGTTTCATATCCATATTTGTTTTACTTAGGAAATTATATGCATAAAAAGGCNTTGTCCAAATCAGGCAATCTTGGTGGCATTTGAAAGGTCGATTTGTCCGCTCTATATTGATACAAGTTTCATATCCACATTTCTTTTACTTAGGAAATTATATGCAGAAGAAGGCATAAGTTCTTGTCGAACTACTTGCTAATTTTGTGTTATTCCATTGCTTCTTTCCATTACAGGTTCCTTCCTGCAAAATGATGGCTCGCTCTGTTGCAGCACAAAAGACCTGAAAATTGTCCAAATCTGGCAGTCCTTGTGGCTACAGAAAGGGCGAATGTTGCCCTATTCATTGATGTAAGTTTCATATCCATATTTACTATAGTTGGGAAATTATCGTAAGAGGAAGGCTTTGGTTGTTCTCCTGCTGCTTGCTAATTTTGTGCAATTCCCGTGTCCCTTCCTGCGAAATGAAGGCTCTCTATGTTGCAGCACAAAGGACCTGAAAATTGTCCCAATCAGGCAATCCTTGTGGCTACTGAAAGGGCGAATGCTCCCCTATTCATTGATGTAAGTTTCATATAAATATTCCCTTTAGTTGGGAAATCATCGTAAGAAGAAGGCTTTGGTTGTTGTCCAGCTTCTTGCTAATTTTGTGCAATTCCCGTGTCCCTTCCTGTGCTTATGATGGCTCTCTATGTTGAAGCATAAAAGGCCTGAAACTTGTCCAAATCAGGCAATCTTGGTGGCATCTGAAAGGTATATTGGTCCTCTTTCTATTGATGTTAGTTTCATATCCATATATGCTTTAGTTGGGAAATTATCGTAAGAAGAAGGCTTTGGTTGTTTTCCTGCTGCTTGCTAATTTTGTGCAATTCCTTTGTCCCTTCCCGCACAATGATGGCTCCCATCTATGTTGAAGCATAAAAGAACTGAAAGTTGTCCAAATCAGGCAATCTTGGTGACATCTAAAAGGGTGATTGGTCCTCTATATATTGATGTAAGTTTAATAACAATATATGCTTTAGTTGGGAAATGATCGTAAGAAGAACGCTTTGGTTGTTGTCCTGCTGCTTGCTAATTTTGTGCAATTCCCGTGTCCCTTCCTGCGTAATGATGGCTCTCTATGTA